TGTGTGTGTGTGTGTGTGTGTGTGTGTGTGTGTGTGTGTGTGAAGTGCTGATGTATTTCACACAGCGTTGTGGATTTAATGGGGAAGGTAGCTGGATGGCCAGCGTGCCCTCCTGCTAAGAAAGGAAGCCTGGTGTGCCTGCTGTCATAACTCTGGTTTTGATAATCAGGGCATGGGTAGTTTTTGACTGCCGGGTTTGCTATGTGTGGATCTGGTTGCTATGTTGCTGGAAAACAGTCTGTGAGCTTGGGGTTTCTAGACCAACCACTCTATGGATGCCCAGAGAAGGAAGGAAGGCAAGGGCCTGGGTTTGCTGATTACACAGCATCACCATGGTCACCGGTTGCTGGGCTCGTCTCTTGCAATCTTTTGCCAGCGGCATTCAGGCAACAACAGCTTCCTTTTGCCACTTTTTTTTAAAGCTTCTGGTATTTGCTGCTGAGAGAAAGGGTTGTTTATACGCTTGTGGGGACAGGTGGCCCAAGAGACGGGGCAGAGACTCAGGAGAAGAGAGCACACAGAAGCAGAATGACCTGGTGGGCTGGAACAACTGGCCTACTTTACTTTCACTTTTGCAGGGGCCAGAGAGGGGAGGAACAGAATTTACTCAGGTCTGAGTACTAACTCTAAATATTTATTCTGCCTTATAGGTGATTCCCATTGGAATCATGTGAATTAAAAAGACTCCTTTAAAGTTGACAGAACACAGGCCAGCGAGACGCCTCTGTAAGTAGACACTTGCTGCCAAGCCTGACGACCCTAGTTTGATTCCCTAGGACCACATGGTGGGAAGAGAGAAATGATGCCCACCAGTTGTCTTCTGACCTCCACACGTCCTCTCTCTCATTAAACAAATCTAAAAGCAATATGGACTAAAATTGCAGAATAATTTTAGCATGATTTTAGTCTATAAGTTTCAATGAGCTTCAAAGACCAAGACCAAAAGGATCAGTGTCTAAGTTCTTCTACATTCTAAAGAACGCCTGTGTGTCCTAGTCATTGTGTATTTCTGCAGGAAATCTATACAGAACTAATCCCGTGGTTATGAAAGATTCAAGATCTTGGTTGCCTGCTGAGCCAGGAGAGCACTCTCCTCTCTCTCTCTCTCTCTCTCTCTCTCTCTCTCTCTCTCTCTCTCTCTCTCTCTCTCTCTCTGTGTTTGTGTGGGAGCACAGATCCCCAGTGACACTCCTCCAGTCAAACACAGCCATCCCCTAGCCCCAGAACCCAGCCAGTCTTAGGTGAGCTAAACCTGTATATGTTGACCGGAGCTCATGAGTGAGAAGAATTTTTGTTTTCAGTCACTGATTTTTGGGTGGAGTTGTTGGGCGACGATAACGAACTTACTGAACGTCATACAGGAAAATGTCTATACAACTTTAGTTTATCTTGGCCAAAAGGCTGAGAAGTGATTAGAAAGGAAAAGGGTTCTGTACAAATTGTCCACATGCTCTAAGAGCTATGCCAGGGTGATGAGCCTTTATGCACGCAAGACCCCGAGAAAGTGAAGCATCTACTCACAGACGGGAAGGGGGTGTCTATAGTTACCCAACTACCGGTAATGAAATCACTGCCCAGCCCCCAAACAGACAAAAATATTAAGCAGAAAGCAGTCCAGCTGACCTCTGTGTCCATGGGGTCTGCATCTGTGTTTGTGACCAACTGTAGATCAAATGGAGTTTTTAAAAAATGGTGTCAGTACTGAACAAATATAGATGTCTTATGCCAGCCTTGTGGAACACAGCATGACAACTGCTGTGTATCGTCTATCTGTGTTTGGTGGTATAAATAGTCTAGAGATGATTTCAAGTATGTGGGAGGAAGTGTGTAGATTATATGCAAATGAGCCATTTCCCATGGGGACTTGTGCATGTGTGGAGTTGGATATTTGCAGGAGGTTGTGGGATCCTGGAATCTGCACTGGATACTGAGGGAAAACTATCTCCAAAATAGTTTAAGAATTCCTACACAGAAATTAAAGGCAAGAAACTCCACATTAAAGAGAGTGAAAAGCCTTAAGAAGCACTTGACAAAAGGGGAAATCCAAACAGACAGCAATCGCTTGTTTTCTCGATCTCAGAAAACAGAGAGCTGGACACCAAAACCCTAGCTACAAGCTGGTAGCCTAGGGCTCATGACTAAAGTACTGCTTTTGAGAAAATTCCAGTGTCAAGGCTAGCCCAGAAATGTAAGAGACAGGATGCACAAGGCTAGCCCAGAAACTTTAGAAGCAGGATGGCTGACATGAGTGACCAAACATGGGCTGAGATGCGCAGTGTGGCAGCAGTCTCCTGTTACAGGCTGACCCCACTCCGAGCCAGTGGTGTTTTCTCTGGGGACTCAGAGGAAGGGCTTCCTCCTTGGGTTAGCATACAGCAGAGACTATGGCAGGTGGGAACGGGCTAAACAGCACATGGAAACCCAACTGCAGCATGAGAATACTGACTACATCTACACGGGTCCTTTCCCTTGTTATATGACGTGGCAGCCATGTGTTTGGGGGTAAGGTGGCCTCCACCCACCTGCAGGGATAGAATGTGGGAGGCCTGAGCCACTGACCACAGTCCCACTTCACTGGCCACAGATGGGAATATTCAGCCTTCCAATCTGTAAATTCAACCAGCTGGGGATGAAAAGTGCTGCGGGGCGCGGGGGGGGGGGGGGGGGGGGGGGGGGGGGGGGGGGGGGAGTGGGGTTGCATCTGTATTTAATAAGTAAAGTTTTTTTTTCTTGTCTTTCCCTAAACACTGTAACAACTACTTACATAGCATTGACATGGCATTAGGCATGATACGTAATCTGAGAATGATTTAAAGCATATGGTTATATGCAAATACTATGCCATTTTATTAAACACCCGCAGATATTTTTAAGATTTATTTTTATTTTATGTTAATGAGTGTTTTTACCTACATGCACGTAAGTGCACCACATGCATGCCTGGTGGCCTCAGAGACTAGAAGAGGATGTTGGATCCTCTGGAACTTGAGTTACAGATGGTTGTGAGCACCGTGGGGGTGCTGGGAATTGAGCCTTGGTCTTCTTAATCACTGAGTCATTTTCCCAGACACACATCTGCTGGCTGCTGTACCTAGGGGTCCTAGAACCTTACCCTGCAGACATGAATAGAGACAAGAAGATTGATCAGTATGTGGAGGTCAAGTTACAGTTCATTAGTGAGCTCTTTATGGTAATATACATGGGAAATATTTGGACAATAGTGATAATGTTGCTTTTGATGAAGCAAAGTAAAAAGTAAGATAACTGAGTCAATCAATATTCAGGAAACAATCATAGAGATGGTGCACAGATACGACAGAAGCCATCGGCAGGGAGGAAGTTGCTGTTCCATGGTGGGAGGTTTCATTTTAAGGAGTTGGTATAGCCTTTCCTTCACGTGTTCTTAACATACACTCAGTTCTTCTTCGTGCGTGTGTGTGTGTGTGTGTGTGTGTGTGTGTGAGAGAGAGAGAGAGAGGGTGTGCGTGAGCGTGTGAGAGAGAGAGAGGGGGGGGGGGGACACATATGTACAGGTTCACGCACCCACACGTGGAGGCCAGAGGAGGATGTTTGGAGCCCTGCTCAATCACCCTCCACTTTATTCCCTTGAGACAGGATTTCTCACTGGATTTGGAGCTAGGCTGGCAGCCAGCAAACCTGAGTGATCATCCTGTCTCTGCCCACCCTGGCCAATGACACTGGAGTTACAGGCGTGTGAATATGCCTGGATTTTTACATGGATTCTGGAGACTTGAACTTGACCCCTCCTGCTTACACAGCAGGCACCCTTTCTTACCCACAGAGCCATCCCCCACCCCACATTTGCTTGGTTCTCATTGAAATTCATCAGCTTGCTTCACATGGGAATGACATGTTTGTAAATGACCGGCGTTCTGAAAAAAAAAACAACAACAGACATCTCTTGATTTTGGCAGTGATGTTTTGAATACTTGACACATTACATACCATAGTTTTATCTATCTTTAGTATCAGACATTCTTACTTCATCCAAAAGTTTTCATTCAAATGCAGCAAAGGAAGTCTCCATGAAAACGAAAAGGACATTTTTCAGAAACTGGTAAGCTGGAGTCTCCGACCTGCGCAAAGACGCCCGACCTGTGCTCCAGGGAATGCATCACCCAGGAGGCACCTGGAGATGTCCCGTCTCACCGTGATGCCCAGCTCTTGTGCAACTTTTCTCTGCAGAGCCTTTGCAATGCCCTACTTTCTTTGAAGCATTGTGGATTTCTTAAGATATTGCAATCTACATTAAAATGTTCTTCTTGTGAGAATTACATGTCGAATTAGCACATCTGGGGCAAAGCTTGCCAAATCGGGAAGGAAATTGCCATGCTATCCCAACAGATAGCTCTTCTGGGGAGCCGTGGTTCTGGCTCATCTGGGGCACCTCCTTCCTCTGGGCCCGTTTGTAGACAATTGGGTTTCCCTGGCATGTTGTCCTGCATACCCGGAATCTCAAGTACAGCCAGCAGAGACACCTTCATTCTCCCCAAAAAAGGGAACACTTTCTGGCCAGTCTTCATCCTTGGATGAATGGGCATATCTGTAGTTTTGATGACTTGGGATTCCTAGTCGCTTTCTCCTGCTTTCTTACCGTGTTTGGTGGCTTGAATAGTTCATGTGACTGCTCTCTCTTCAAAAGCTACAGATGAGTCAGAGAACAAAGCCTGAGGGAGAGCTTTTATGATGTGTAACCTCATTCAAGGTGCCATCTAGAAGCTTCTTTCTCTACTTATCCTCCCCCAAACTTCCAGGTGGCCTGTCCCCTTGACAAATTGCTGCCAGAAAGAGATCACTTCCTCAGTAAGACCCCTGGAACCTCTAGCTTGAACCTGATGACCCTCTAGACGTTTCTTTAGGATCAGCAGTAGACATTTGATGTCTTGTGATGCTGGGGATGGGAGTCAGAGAGACATGCATGCTAGGCCAGTAAGTCTTCCACCACAGAGCTGTACTTCAAGTTCCTGATGAATTAGTTTTTGTCTAGAATGCCTTTTAAATTCTTTGGGAATGTCACTCAGCTTTGTGACCTTCCTTGGAGGTGGGGGGATCCTTCCCTCTTGGAAGCTGTTTTATTGAGAAACTGTGAGGCTAAAATTGTTGTCTGGACACAGTGACGTGGGCAGGCAAACCAAGCTCTGTCCTTCAGATCTGTCCCGGGAGAACTTGACTCTTGAGAGGAGTGGTGGAGGACTGGAGAGCATCAGAGCCTTTCATTCTGTAGTAGGCCCTTCCTGGCTGTCCCGGTCTATAGCATGGCCTTTGCCACTGCCTTTCTCAAGGGGAGGCACACTGATGTAAACTGTCTTCTTCCAATATACTAGCTTTATACTGAATTGAACCAGACTCCGTTACTGTTGCTATAACAAAAGAACCCTCAAATAAGCCACCCACCTCCAATTCTCTTGTCTCAGTCCTTTTCTAGGCTTTATCTCCACTAAGGCTCGTTAACAACATTGACGCCCAACAAAATACCGTGAACCGGAAAGCTTGTAAACAGTGACAGGCATTTCTCATATTTCTAGAGGCTTCTAGAGGAAGACCAAGATTCAACACCAGTGGGTTTGGGTTTGGTGTCTGGTGAGGCTCTTGTCTCATAGTGGCACCTTCTAGCTGTAGCCTCACATAATGGAAGGAACGAGCCACCTCTCTGAGGTTCTTTATCACATTCACAAGGGATCCTCTCAACACCCTGAGGACTCGTTTTCAGCATACGAATTTTGACTAAAACTCAAAATCCAACCACAGACTGCAAGGCCCACACTGGTCTGGTCACCAGCAGCCGCTCCATCCCACCTTCCCACCACCCTTCTCCATGTCTCCCGACTTCGCGCCCTCTTCGCCTTCCTTGAGCGTCGCACGCTTACTGCTGGGTTTTCGCACATGCTCCCTTGTGCCTGCAGGGTTCCTTGAGTGGGCCTCAAGCATCGTTCCCAGCTTCTGGCCAGGTTCCATGGGTCAGAAGCTTTCCTGGTTCCCACCTGATACGTCTCTGTCATAACACTTTGTAATTAGAGTTAGCCTCCTGTGTGCGTTGTTTTCACACACATGGATCCAACCAACGATGGATCAAAAACCTTTGAACAACAATCCGTGTCGGTACTGAGCACAGACAGACTTCCTTTCTGTGCGATTATCCCCCCGCCCTCAATCTACACAGCAGTCACGGTGTATTAGGTAACACAGCCAATTTAAAGATGATTCGAAGTGTCTGGAGGATGTGTATAGTTACCGCGCCATATTACAGGTGAGACAAGTATCTGCAGACTTGATGTTTACAGGGATCCTGGAGCTGGTGCCCCATGGACACTGAAGGATGACTGTGTATATCTGTGTGGATTATCTGATCCTTGCTTGTCTGCCTTGCTGACTAATAAGCTTCTCAGAAGTGGGATCCATGTGTTTCCTCTGTGACTGTATTCTGACATAGCACTTGATGTGTACAAAACATTTTCTGGAATAAATGGATTTCAAAGAGTCATATCTCATCTGAGATATGGCCCTGTGTTCCCAGTCTTCTTCTCTTATGAAGAGTCCTCAGCTGCATCTGTTCTAATCTAAGAAATATTTAATCATTTTATAACTTTTGAAATTCATTATAATGCAGGCACGCTCCAATTACTGGAATGCCGTAATATATTATTTACTGTGGCAAGGGGATATGACATGGCTTGTCACTATGAAGGAGCTTGCAAAAGCCACACTCGGGTATGATGTCATCTCATTTCACCCTCCCATTCTTCATTTGACAAAGCAGAAACCAGGCTAGGAAAGGTTAAGTGATGTATTCAAGGTCACACAGCTTACCAGGGTTGAATTCGTGACATGAACTTCGAAGCCATTGCTCTCACGGGGTTCCCATGACCTCCCTTCCCTGTGTGTCCTTCCGGAGACATGCCTGTCATGCTCCAGGTTTCTTGTCATCGAATGGATTTATATTCCTTCCACAGAGGAGGAAGTGGGAGCATAGAGAGATGGCCTGGACTTCTCACTTCCAGGTAGAACACTTCCATATACTGCAATAACAGGAGAAAGCCGGATGGCTGGGATTTGAATTCGAGGACGTACATTATCAGCAAGCAGTAAGGCTGAGCTGGAAGAAGCCAGCCGATCACTTCCTTCCTGAGGTTTTTGCCTCTTCTGAGCTTGGGGTGGCCCTGACCTGAGTGAGCCCAGATACCATCGAAAGAAGGAGGGGATACATTGTGGTTGTCCGGTGGGGCTAGTGTGAGAGGGCTGACAGCTAGGGTCATCCTCCTGCTGGCCTGGATGTCCCCAGGGGACATTTGCTGAACTCGGGGGTCAGTAATCTGGGCTGCAAAACCCGCTAAACCTGGGCCTGAGCGGCCTGCATCACCAGCCAGTTTGTTTTCCAGTTCTTTCCAAGGTATCATTTCCTGGCTGTTTCGTTGGCAGTCTTCCCTGCACTGGCAGGGTTTATCAGGTATTGGCGTCCCCTGCTGTCAGAGAAAAGCTTTGCAAGGACTTGGCAGGTCACATGTCTTTCAAGAACCGGGGCCACAGTCTGAGAGTGCATTTCTCACATCTCCTCTCCCTAACATTGACTGTCCACGTGAGTGGGTCCCTGCAAGACCCCCAGGGCCGGCAGGGCTCACTTTACTCTGCTGTCTGTGCTCTAAAGGAGTCGGTATATGAAGCGCTCAAACGTGGCTTAGCATACAACGCTTTCTGACTTCTGAGAACACGGGTGGCTATGGGTATTGTTAGGCCACCTCTCATCCTCCTCGGTCTCTTCTGACCAGCATGCGTGCTTCTGATCGTGGTGGGAGCTGGATCCACTTTGGGTTCCCTGACACTCTCAGGTTGTTTACACAGGGCACCAGGGACTGGAGTCCCATGCTCAGAGCTGAGGGAGAGGAAGGGACTCATCAGCCTCCTGCCTGCTACTAGCTGCCTTCAGGCCTCAGGATGTCAGAGGCTAAGCTGTCTCCTTGTTTACATCGCCCAACTGTCCTAGGGGTGGTTCTGGGCCTCAGCTGCCCAGCTTCACAGGGCTCTCTCAGCTCTTAGGAGGAACCTGCGGCTTCAGCCCAGGCTCCCTGTCACCAGCTTCCTGTCCTCCGGGCTTTCGGATCCCCACATTCTTAAAGTCCCAGCAGCTATGGGCTCTCCCAAGTTTCTTTCCTGAGAACAAATATCACCACTCACTACCCTTTGCACGTTGCAAGCACAGACTGTCCCTCGGGCTCTTCCCCGTTTGTGTGAATCATGGTCTTTCTTACCCCCATGGGTACTGCTCAGAACTCTGTCTCCCAGGGTGCATTGTCTCTGCTAGACTGGAGTACAAACATCTGGCTGTCCAGTCCCTGGGCCATTTCCCCAAGACCTCAAACTCTGCTTGCCAGACAGGGATTCAGCCAGGAGCACCCACAGGGGTGATAGAGATGGGTCAGACTCTTGGGCTTTCCAGATGACCTGTGTCCCTAAGCAGCCACCAGCCACCAGGCCCTGAA